ATAATTACAGGTTGATCAAGAATAGATATTGTATAATTAGATTCTTCTATTGTTATAGAAGTATCAGAAGAGTTTGAATTAAAACCTGGATAAAAATCAATGACTAGAAGTGTAATTGTATAACCCAAATAAATTAAATTAACTAACATATATCGATTGTGTAGAGTTTTTTTAAAACATATAGGTACTCTTTTTCGTAGATGTTTCCATCTTAATGCATCCCACATAGAATCAAATGCTTCAAGTTCATTAAAAGGAGCTGTTGTTGAATTATCATCGTCTTCATCAGTTTTCACCTGTAAACTGATAGGAAACATGATGAAAAAAGAAAATTTCATTCGCTTCAATGAGCATATGTCTCACCTATATATGTATATAATATTAAAAAAAAATGATTCGTATCTCGCATGGGATGCATCACAAAACAATTGATGACCGTAAAATTGTGAAGTTCGGTTTTTTTTCTTTATACACTTATTGAAAGTGATGAAATAGTTTTGAAAATAATAATCAAATCGGCGACTAATATTTTTCAATGTATAGATGAAGTTTTATCTAAATAATGCAACGATAAACTACGTGTTTGAAGTAATAGACAGTTCTCGAACATTATGTGGAATCTTTCAAACAAAAAACAAAAAAAAAAATATATATATATATAAGGTGTTTTTTTTCATTTAGCTACGCACAGTGGTTATTCTGATGCTTGTCAAGTTAATGTATACCACTGCGGATATAATCTATTTACAGAGTAGGTTTAAAATATTTCTTGATGATAGATGTAAATACAGCATTTTTTATGGTAATTTGGATTATTTTTGATACATAATCTTCATGTTTAAAACTTTACTTGTAGTTTTTGTTATGGTCTTTCATCTGAAACGAGACTTAAGCGATCAGAATCAATAGTTCTATATTATAAAAAGAGATCTCTCGTCAAATATCATCTCCAGAAATGAATTACTTTTCAAAACCTAATCCATGGTAAGCTGGTTTTCAGCTTTATACAGATAAAATAATAGCATAACTGCGAAAAACCATAAAAAAAATCAATTAACAATAAATAATTAGATGAACTAAACGAATATGCATATACGACGAGAAGAATTTTATTTTAATATTATTTACTGTGTCAAACAAAAAAAAAATATATGTATATATATATATAAGATGAATTAAATTCGAAGAAATTTTACATTTTACAATTCGTATCAATCACCGAAATATTAATTATTTTATAAAAAATTCTGTATTTATTTAGAAAAATATATATTCTTTGTTAAAAATCAATATGAAAAAGTGATTATTAAAAATATTCTGTAATAATATCCATATTCATATTGTTCTCATTTTCTTTATTATCTTTGATTTTTTCTTTTCTCCGTCTACATAGATTCGTGATTAATATTTCATGACGTCCAAATTGTGGTAAAACTCGTGTTTCTATATGAATTCTACCTGCTGCTATACCATATTGACCAGCTAATGGTAGAAACCAAAACCAATTTTCATCACGTAAAGTACCAAGTATATAATAAACAGATCCAATAAAACCAAGAACATCTGCATAGACATATATTTGATTAGTTCCATATTGTTCAGGATAAATATTGAGTTGAATATTATATACGAGATACATCAACGTATTACTTGTCGTAGTTAAATAACCCATTGTATCAGGATCATCAAATGTAAAACCACGACCTATAGTACGTGTATATGTCATATACCATGAAAGCATCCTAGAAACATCAATAGTGGTTTTTAGTTTTGTTATATTTATATTTATATAGTTTACCATCCAATAGCAGCACATATTTCAGTACATGATGCAGCTAGTTCAATTCTATGTACAGCCATTGTATAATAACCACCAAGAGTAGTTTGTTTCGAATACCATAATGATGACCAAAGATAAAGTCCTGCTTGTATATGATTTAAATATTCTGGTATTAAAACAACATCAAACCATGATCGACCACGCCATGCTATGATATAAAGAAAAGCTACTAAAATATTGACCGCAGCTAAGCCTTCAAAAAAAATTTAAAAAAAAGAAAGAAAGAAAGAAAGACAACTGTTTTACATAAATTAGTATAAAAAATAATTGTTTACCTATATAGAGTCGATTAACATATTCATTCATAATTACAGGTTGATCAAGAATAGATATTGTATAATTAGATTCTTCCATTGTTATAGAAGTATCAGAAGAATTTGAATTAAAACCTGGATAAAAATCAATGACTAGAAGTGCAATTGTATAACCCAAATAAACCAAATTAGCTATCATATATCGATTGTATAAGGTTTTTTTAAAACATATAGGTACTCTTTTTCGTAGATGTTTCCATCTTAATGCATCCCATATGGAATCAAATGTTTCAAGTTCATTATAAGGAGCTGTTAAATCATTAGCATCTTCATCGGCTTTCACTGGAAAATTGACAGGCATGATATGAGAACAATTTTTATTCGTTCAGATATATAATGTTATAAATATGTAAATATAAGCATATGCATGAAATAAAAATGTTATTCTGTATGATCGATTGGTTTTTTTTTGGCAATCAAATTTGTATAGGTTTCGTTGTAAACATATTCATATAATTTTCACATGTACGGTATAAGTCGGTCATATATACATGACAAAAAATTTTTTTCTATTGAGAAACCTTTTGAAATATTCACCATCACGATCATTTAATTATTATTATTGAAGTGTGGAATATGAAGAGAATGTTTTTTTCTTTCTTCAGGTACAATTGAGGAATTTTTTCATCATTATTGACAAGATGTTAACTTATTATTTTTTTTGTTTGTTTGTTAATAAAACAAAAAAGGGTTGTATTAACGACAAAAACATCAATAGTGAGAGTAATGTTGTTTAACACAAATAGAAAATATTTTCAATGCCTAGAGATTTAAATGAGTTAGAATGTATGTATGATTCATCAAATTGGTATTCTATTTTTATCATTTCTTTTTGTTTTTTGTTAATCATATTTAGTATAGTACAGATGGTAGAAATCTCAAGAAAAATAATAATAAAAACGTCAGTTGGTTTCACTTTTCATTTAAGGTTAATTTCATAATCAATAATATGAAAAAAATTTTAAACAGTTTATTATATGTTTTTTTTCTTTTTCCATTATTCATTCATGCAGTTCAAGTTACTATTAATAATCTTCAACCACGTTTGGATATTAATGGTATAATTATGGATGCACATGATGGTAGTATTCAACAATTTGAAAAAAATGGTCTTTATTTTATGCATGCAATGCAATATGGTCTGTGTGAAGAGCCACCAAACTATGGATGTGATGGAGTTAGTTTACATTTAGACAACAAAAAACAGAACAACCCTATAGAAAAGAAATTTTAATATAAATTTAGGCTGGAATGTCAAGTAAATGTGGCTTTCAAATGAATCATAATATTAGCATATGGTCTTCACCAAATTTGACCTCTGGATCATGGTCATATGTAGGTAATGCAATTAATGTGGCTGATCGACCCGCAGGTATTTTTCTTCATATGATATATTATTTAATATATAACTATTATTATATTATCATAGGTGTAGTTTTTCGTCCACATCTTGTATACAATCCAAATACAAAATTATATGTTCTTATTTGGAATTATATGAGATGGAATCTTCCTAGTTTATATGCAGTTGCTATAGCTGAAACACCAAGGTAAAATACCTATTAGTATATATATCATTATTATATAACTCTTGAGTAAATTTTATTTATTTATTTATAGTGGGCCATTCAAACTAATTAATTCTGCTTTGAATGTTTCTCGAGGTGGTGGAGGTAAGTATATGTTTTATTTTTCATTCATTTAATTTATCTATTGAATTTTCTAGGTGATTTTGATATTCTTGTTGATGATGATGGTAATGGTTATATAGTTTATTCTCAAAATTATTATATGAGTGTCGAGCAATTAACACCTGATTTTTATTATTCAACAGGGAAGTCTTATATGTTTAAAGAATACTTTGTTGAAGCACCAATATTTATGAAAAAAAATAATATTTACTATGTATTATTCGGTTGGTGTTGTTGTTATTGTATGCAAGGCAGTGGTGTTTTAGTTCATACATCTAATAACCCTCTGGGACCTTATACACTTCAAGTATCACTTTATACTTTTTTTGTCTTTTCGAAAATATAAAGAAAATTTTGATTATTTTTATAGGCTGAAGATGATCTTGCTTGTGTGACAAAAAATGACAATTCTATAACTAACGTACAATTAAAATCAGTAAATGGTTTACCAACACCTAATCAAGGTTGTGAATTTCATAATATAAACACAACATCAATTGTTCGATCTCAACAAAATTATATTATTAAAGTGACAAATTCAACTGGTTATACAACATATGTTTGGACAGGTGATAGGTAAAATTGTAGAATAGAAAAAAAAAATTTCATTGTATAGACTGATTGATTGATTTCTTTTTTTGAGATGGCAACAAGCACCTGATGGAATAAAAGGTCATGAACCACAATATTGGACACCTTTGAACTTTTATGAAAATGGTACAATTGGAAAAATGCAATGGTTAGATGAGTTTATTTTGAATGTATAATCAATCAAATTTATTCTTTTTTTCTTTTGTTATTAAAAAAGAAAAATAAATTTGATAAAATACTCTATTGCAGTAATATAATCTTAATGATAGTATATCTTTCTCAAAAAAAATAATTCTTAAGAATGATTTCTTTCAATTCTTTATTGTACGAAAGGTATGCAACCTAAAAAAAAAAGAAAAATGTTTTTTTGCTTGTCACATCTATTTATAAAACTTGATTGTTTTTCTTTAAAAACAAATAAAAAAAATTGAGTGAAAATAAAATAATGGTTTCTCTCGATCGTACCGAACAAAAAAATAAATAATAAGAACTCGGTAATTTTTTTTTATTTATACAACGACTAGTGTAACCAAAAAAACATGAGTTTGTCTTATAGCACTTATATATATATATATTTTTTTTGTTTTTGAACAGAAAACCATTCAAGGACTCTTACTTCATTAACATTAATTTTTGATATTTTAAATATAAATAAAAAACAAATTCTTACAATCAAAAGACTTACGAAGGTAGCTCTAATTACTGCGACAGTTGTTTAATTATTAATTCTATTATGAACAAATAGATATGAATATTTTATTGCAAACAAAAACAAATAAATAACTTTTTTTCTCAAGTGAAAAATCAAATACGATGAGATTTAATAGGTATTATTTGATTTCTAGGTCATCGGTTTTGTTTCTACATCATTTCTGAATAAGTTAAAAGACATAAATGAATGAAGTATATTAGCAAATGACAATCCTAAAATAAAAATATTTATCTTGAATGCTAGAAGAAATTCAGGACATAACTTGTGAAGAAAAAAAAATGAAATTGATTATTATACTCAACGAAATAATAATATAACGAACATCAATTAAAGACGCAAAATTATTTCGCAATTAAAATGTTCACATATAGTACAAAAATACTTACGAGAGAACTCATAACAGTGCTAAAGAATCGAGGTAATGATCAAAATTAAAATTTTTGGATTATTTTATATGCATTCGACAGACTATCATCTGAAACCACCAAATTTAAATTTGTAGCTCATTTCGATGTTTCATAATACGAATCTATTTTGTGATTTACTTCCCATTAATGATGCAGTACAATGGACGAGAGTAATTCAACTTAATAATAAAAGACCTTTGTATTTAATTACGATATGACTTTACGTAAAAAAAGTTAACAGTGAATTCGAGTTTTTCCTGCTAATATTCGCTTCTAAACTTGGATTGAGTTTCTAATTGGTTGAGTTAGATGTAAAATTTGATTCTGCATCGATTGATAATAGTCTCAAGCGGCGAAATTGCTCAAAATGAGCAATATGAAATAAGTTTCACTTTTATATATAATCAAAGCGTGACAATTTTAAACATCATGAGTATTCATTAGAAAGTGATAGATATCAATCGATATCAGCAATATTTTGTGAAGGAACATCAATATTCATCATTCAGGCGGTGCCACTAATCATAAGACGATCAATTGGCATCATGAGATATAATGATTAATACAAAAAAGAAAATGAAAAAAGGCCTTAGTTCAACTAACAAAGGATTTAGATGAAGGCAACGGAAGGTTTATCAATCTCTTCCACATGTTCGTAGCTTTTCATATGTTCCTAAAGAGTCTTAACGAACTTAGATCACCTAAATCATACCTTAAAGTTGGTATACAAGCAAAATCCCCAAAAGAGAAGTGCCGAAACTGTTTCTTCTTTGAATAGGTTCCAGAAATGCTGAAAACATAAACAACTCAAATAACATGAAGACGAAGGCAAAACCTAGTATTTCGACCTCAATCATCCCTTTTTGTTCTATGATCGCCTTGGAAGTATCACCATTTGATTCAGAATCAAATTCTGCATGTAACTCATCCAATTAGAAACCCAACTCAAGTCTAAGAGCGAATATCACCAGAGAAAACTCGAATCTGCTACTAAGTTTTCTTACATGAATAATCTTCCTTTAACGATATTCTTTGACAATCAATAGAAGTTCACAAATTTTTCATTTTTATATTATGAAAGAAAGAATGCATATTATTAGATGTAACCTATTCAATTATCTATTGTAACAAAAATCTATCACAAAGAAAGAAAAGAATTTATCTAAAGTTGAATAAAAATCTCATTTTTTTTGTAATTTTAATTATCAACTAAAGGTGATGGAACAGTCCTGTTTTATTTTCCAGCTGTTTTTGATGATACAGATGATGTTAAATAACCAGCAATTTGTGCATCAACTAAATAAATCATGCCATACAGTTGATGATTGAAGTATACGTGATATCTGTTCACCATGAACCAAAGATTCAGCCATTAATTTACATGAATCAGATTTTTCAACATTATTTAATAGTCAATTAACAACGTAATGTTTCTTTGATAAATTCATCAAGTGTACCAGGTGCTAGAGTACAATATAAATCATGCAAACATTCAACAATAAGTCGTTGAACAATGAACTCATTCATATAGTTATGTTGGTGAGAATCGTCTAACAGAAGTCATGAGAGTAGCTATTCAATTATAGATTCTATGTGTTAATACCAACAATATCTATTTCCACGACCTATGAGCCGCAGTGCCACGCTACTACACCCTGTTTCGCCGATGAGAAATGGCTGCGGAGCATCATGACGTTTGATGGTTTACCTCCATCACTGAAGATAATATCTTTTTTTTTTTAAACAGTTAAAAATCTATGAAAATGGTTGACTGAATGTGGCAGTGGGCGTAGCTGGAATAAATACTTCCATATCCACTTACACCCTAAATCATTACCAAGTAAATGAACAACATAATAATTATTTATTAATATTTTGAGTAAAAAACCTAAAGAAGAAAAATATATACATATTTAATATTAGAAAAATTTTGAATAATAAAAGATATCCATACGGTGATAACCTGTTGAGAACCATCAGTTAACCGCAGTTCTTCTGCTTAAATGATCCGATTCTGATTTTTATATACAGAGATGTCTTTCACTAACAAATCCATACTCAAAGCCGCACTCTCACTCTTAAAGTTCATTAGCCCGATACTGCTGAGATAAATCAATATCATTTGCTAGCCATGTCATATTTGTTCTTACACTCAGATTCAACAGTGGTTGTTTGTTTTTTCAAAATGATTTACCGGCGATTGTAAAGCTTTATTTACATTTTACACAACAGTGATGAATTTTATGGCGTCATCTATCATTCGAAAATCAAATATGCACTAACGATACATCTAGCGAAATGAATAAAACTAAACTTGAATAAGTTGATATATACATATATATATACCCTTGTTTGTGTTATTAAATTCATTTCCAGATCCTTAATTATATTTATTTTCTTATATGAGATAAATCGGAATACTTGAAGTAATGTTGTAAAACACAAAAAAAAAAAGAAGATCCAAGTTTCTATTCTAAACATAAAAAACAACAGAACAAAATATATTGTTTGATCAACCAGATTAGTCTTGGCAAACGTGTCGGTCTGAATCTACTAATGGACTCTGTTCACTGTATTTATTCTCATTTGCAACTTCAGTTTTTGGATCTGTATCATTTTGTCCTTCTTGAATTATTTCATAGCGGTTACCACCTATATTTGTTTTCCATATACTTAATATCATTATGATCGATAAAATTGCAAGACCACTTGATATAAATGTTACTATATATCTATAATATAATGCACAGATACGTGTTGAAGATAATGTACATGGATTAAACTGTTGAATAATAGCAATAACTACACCATCGGCAATTTTATCAGTAAATGACATTATTGCATAAACAAATGCTACACATTCTGTATTTGAACCAATTAAATCAGATGCTAGAGCAGAAGAGCAAATGATTATTGTTGATATTCCAATACCGAGTAAAACACAAGTTGATATTATAGCTATTTCAATTTGTATATTACTTTTTAAATCAAAAATAAACCAAAATAAAATCACACTAACTAATATAAAACCAAAACCAACAATACTAGTTAGGTTTCGACCCAATCGTTTGTTTAATGCACGCATAGGAAAAGATGCAAGTACCCCAATTATACAAATACATAATGGAGCAATAGCAACAAATACTCGATTTAATGTTAAGATTGTATCAATTATACATAATGGAATAAATATCTTAAAAAGAAAAATATGATGAAAAAAGTTGTGTAGAAGATATTTGCTGATATAATAAAGGATTATTCGATTTGATTTTCCAGAAATTTTCCACATGATGAGAAATTAAAACGATCTGAAAAATTCTAGAATTTGTGTTTCTTTAAAAGCCATTTAGAAAAACAGAGGATTCTGGATCTATAGCGTATCTAAAATCTACCTCCAAACTTTTCAATTTTCGTTTTTGGTTTCGAGTACACTCATTCAAACCATTTCTCAAGTAATCCTAATCAACTCTCACTATTGAAACTCCCAGCGATTCCCGATAGGGATTCTTCAGGAAGTTAAGAAGGGATTTCAGGAACTTCCTTGGGATTTGAGAGGAATTCTCTGGGAATTTGAGAGTGACTCCCTAAAAATTAGAAACGCCGAGGAAGTTATCAGTGAGTCCCCAAAAAATGTGAAATTCCCAGCGGTTTCACATTTTTCGGGGGACTCACCAAGGACTTCGCAAGTTATTTCCGACTAGGAAAAGTGCAGCTGATGAAATATTAAAGATAGATTATAGACAGTCATTTGAGGTAAACTGATAAATCATTGAAAGTTCTACGGATATGAAAATTAAGCTTTTTGTGAAATTTTTACCAAGAAAAAGAAAAATATATCGAATCGATGACCTTTTTGATCTGACTTAATTATGTTTAATATGTGAGTTGACTAAAAACTAGCATCATACGTTCTCTACTTGGTTTATTGAGAGTTCTTTTCTGATTTTAGATCATAAAAATGCATACTACTCTCTCTTGAAAAGCACATACAATACTAATTCGAAGAATGTAGAATATAGAACTATATATTTACCCGTGTAACATTAAGAATAACTCTCGCACATGTCCAAATAAATGTACATTGATAAAATTCTTTTTCACATAAAAAATTTTTCCACGTCATTCGTTTTAATCTTTCGCTAGATGATAATTGTAAATGATATTGTGTTTCTTCAGCTGGTTGTTGAGATTCTTTTAAACCAACATGAAATATAATCATACAAATAAAACCAAAACCAACAACAATAAATGCTAATGTACGAAATATAGGTGCATCAGCTGATGTTATATTATTTTTATCATTATTTGAAGGAAATCCTAATAAAATACTAGCCATTCCATAAACAAATATATTTGATATGAAAGCCCAAGCAAAACGATATGCATAAAGTGCAACGCGTTCACTATCTTGATGTGTTAATTCATTGATCATTGCTCTAATTAAAATATAAATTCTACATTCTTTCCTCGATATAAATTAAATACTTACAAATGTACAACTTGTGAACATGATATACCAAATTGAGAAATAATAATAAATATTGTATAATAAATAAATTGTACCCGTAAATCACTATCTTTACATCCAACGCATAAATTAAAACAAAATGGAAATGAACAAAGTGTACAAATAACACCAATAAGATGCCAAGTTTTTCGTCTTCCATAATGAAATAGACCAATTCGTGTACGATCAGATACCAAGCCAATAAATATTATTGATACAGCACCAACTATTTGTCCAATTAAAAATAAATAACCAGCAGACGCAGTTGTAAAATTCACCACACGATGATAAAATACAAGTGAATATGAAAACCACATTGGTAGAGTTAAATCATTTAGAACAGTTCCAATACTATAAGCCAATTTAGATCTTTCTGAAAGCGCATCTGGTTCTGACATACTTCTTTCCATGATGATCAAGAAATTTATGAATTGAATAAATCGGAAATAAAGAAAACAACGAAATTCTTTATGCTGTTTACAATAAAAAAAACTACAAAAAAAATTAGCATAATATCCAAGCAGTCAGAAATGAGAAATGAACGTGTCACAACGATCATCGTTTTTTTTTTCAACACATTGTACATTTCAACCAATGTCTGGATGAATGAAATTATAAGACTATTCAGTCCTCGGAAATTCTTTTGAATTCAACAAAAAAAAAACCAAAGAAATACAAAGAAATGTACAGAACTTCATGGTCTGTCTTTCTAATGTATTGAAATTATAAACTAAGAGGATGGCAGATTTACAATCTTATACAGCGGTATCCTTTCAGAGATTTTCGACTTTCTGCGCAGCGTCTAGAGTAAATGTTACAGGGTGCTATAATCATCTAGAGAAGATAGCAATATTTCCTTTATATTCTCGGTTGTGGTACTTATATCATACGTATCTTGTGATGGAAGGTATTCTATTATAATGAAAAAAGATTAGCTATATATAGATAAAAGTAAAGATTTCGCCGTCAAACCAACAAATTTAAAATATAGGGTGTTCCAAAAGTCTGCGAAAAAAGTAAATTCGTATAACTCCACTATTTATCAAACTTAATCGACTAATTTTTTTTTCAATGATAGGTACCTCTGTAAAGTTTTTATTCATACGGACAAACTTCACAAATACTGTTTAAAATTATTTCTATTGAATGAAATACGAGAAGCATCATTTTATCGATTTCAGAAAAACACACTATATAGTGTTTCTCTTTTAATGCTTCAGTTTCTTGTGTTTTCTATGACGCTGATGCCGCTGGATCTTGAGATATCTTGAATATGCATTTGTTTTGATATTTCACTGCAAAACGAAGCCTAACAGTGTTAAGTCCGATGATTATGAAGTCCATAAGAACGCTTTAACTTTTCCTATGATGATTCGTGAACCAGAAGGAGATGGATCGATCTTACAAGTTGCACCATCATTGGACTTGACACTGTTAGGCTTCTTTTTGCAGTGAAATATCAGAATAAATGCATATTCAAGATAGTGCAAGATCCGGTAGCATCAACGCCATAGAAAACACAAGAACTGAAACATTAAAAGAGAAACAACACTATATAGTGCGTTTGTCTGAAATCGAAAAAAAAGGTTATTCCCGTATTTCACTCAATAGGAATAATTTTAAACAGTATTTATGAAGTTTGTCCGTATGAATAAAAACTTTACTGAGGTACCTATCATTGAAAAAAAAATTAGTCGATTAAGTTTGATAAATAGTGGAGTTATATGAATTTACTTTGTCGGTGGACTTTTGGAACACTCTGTATAATTAAAATCTTAGCACAATTTTTTTCTTTTTGCTTGGGTAGAGGTCGTGGAATAGCAAAATACAAAATGTTTTTTAAGTTTTAACAAACAATTTAATGAAAGTCAGAATTTTTGATCTATTATCTCTTATATTTGAAATAATAGTGTCTTGGACTATTTGCGTAAAATCTGTTTTTAAAATTCGAAAAACATATTTTATTTTCTAATGCTACTCTATGAGCTCTCTGGGACTAGTACAACGTAAAAAAAATTGTGCTGAGATTTTGAAATTTGGGTATTGAACATACACAAAACAATCTTTACAAATTGGACATCTCAGCCTTGGTTCACGCATGTAAAAGGAGTCTATTATTAGTTTGGCAGTGATAACTTTTATTTGATCCGAATGCATCTAATGGTTTTTATTTACAATACTTTCCATCGTTAGGTGGTAGTATTCAAACATATTGTAGAAATATCAAACTTTATGTCATTAAAATGAAAACCTGTTGCTTTTCCTAAAGTTTCTAGTTTCCATATCTTTGACTCTTAGGTGAGTTGTATTGATTAATTTTTTCATTCATCAATCACTTTTCATTCCAGCAACTATTCAGAAAATAAAATCAACTAAGCTTGATGAAATCTGATTGGTTGTAAATTTTTTAGTAAGTAATCAAAGAGATTAAAATTCTATGCTATAAAATAGTAACAAATTTTCTTTTCGATGAGTCACAGTATGTTTGCATGTTTATTCGGCAGGGTCTTGTAACTAAAAGCGGTTGATACTTATGAACTATTTGAATATTATAAGAAGATAAAATTTACAAAGACTGCTTAAGACTATCATTATTGACTTCTGTTCCTAAAAGAATTCTTTTTTGTTTTTCGAACAAAGAGGAATTGTTCTTTGACTCATACAATTATTCTAGTTATCATGGACTCAAAACTGTCGATATTTTCACTGCTGTTTGAAGAAAAACTACGTAGATTTGATATTCTCATAGAAAAACGAAGTGAAATCAATTCCAGTGACTACAAGGTCTAAGTAATCATTCATTTTTCTTATTAGTCTACTCATCAATTCCTTCGATATATTTTGGAGAATAGCAAGAAAAAAATGAAGCAATTGGTCTTTTTCTTTGAAAATTAAAAACGACTTAATTTTTTGTAGAAAGTCAAAAGTGAATCTATTGCAAAATTTGTGCATTTTATCTTGACGAATAAATGATTAAAGCTCACCCTTCATTAAAAAAGACAAAACTAACGTACTCCTCAAGGATGACGCAGATAATTTTTGTTTATAATCATTACAATGACAATTGATGAATGGTATTAAAAGGGACGAAAGAAAAAATAGTGAACGAAAGAATAGCAAAAAACCAATGGCGAAGAAATATATTCCCCTAAAAAGGGTTGAGATAAGCTACATATACACGCTACATGTAAAAGGGTTTGTGGTCATCGTTTAAGGAGAACCATCGAAACAAAGGAAACAATGTGAAACGAGTCGAGGCTACAGTATAGTTTTAATGGCGGACTAATTGGATTTAGTTTTAGTAAAACACGGAGGCTTCGATTCATTTCGCATTGTTTCGCTTACACGATGTCTACAAGTGTATGTAGCTTATCCTAGTTGGTTTGAATCAATCACCTTGTGGCCCAGATGTAATTTTTTTCTGTCCAACATTGAATGACAACGTCAAAATGTGTATGATGTAATGTGCATACATATTCAAGTTAAAGAATAAATCATATTGAAAAAGCAATCAAATTCTTGAATTAGAAAGTAAAGCTAATGATGAACAACTGTCAATTTAATATCACCTAAAAAAAATAAAAAAATAAAAACCTCATTCCGAAATCAATTGACCCATTACTTGAAACAATATTTAAAAAAATTATTTTTTTCAGTATTATAAAATATTAATTTAATTCACATGTAAACATAATTCAAATTTAACTATAAACAAGGATTCAATTCTATTTGAATTGGCACACACATTCATGCTTTTGTCTTTTCAATTAGTTACACAGTTAAATTCTACGTCTATCTTTGAAACCATTTTTCAGCTAGATATTTTACGACTATTAAATTTTCATTCAAAGAGATCTGTTTTTTCCATATGAAACTCGAAATTTTAATATAAAAGATTTTAATAAAAACAAAAAGAAACTTTTGATTTCTTGTCATTCTTTTGTTTGTATAGTGATTGACATAGCAAGTATTAATAAAGTGCTATTCCAGTTATTTATTTTGTGACTTTCTCAGACATGTAATCATCATCATAAGAGCATCAAAATATCATATTTTGTTTTATCGATTGGATTTAGTTATAATCGAAATGTATAATATCAATCTACAGTGATTAACAACATTGAAAAATAGATATGGTCAAGGTTTATGTTTTTTGAATCAGCATCAGTTAGAATTATATCGAAATCAAAATATTCCATCTCAAATCCAACAGCAACTATAAAATAGGGCACATGCATTGTTAAAGTGGATGTCTCTTTCGATAAAAAGATTGATGAAATTTTTTTGTTCTCCAAAACGCTCTAAAATGGATTTCTGGTTAAAAAACTATCGCTCAGTTAGAAGGTAAAAATGATATTGTTTTTCAATTCCAAGGTTTTATCAGTTGAAATCAGAATTGAATAAGAATCAATTTTAACGTTTTTCAGAATTATGTTAGGAACGAAAATATCGATAATCTGGAGATAAGGTGTGAATGTGGGTGTGGTTCTTATTTCAATCAGACCCACACCAACACTCACATCCTCAACCATCCTTAGAAGCATATCACTTATATGCAATTTTGCGCGGTGATTACGAATATCATATTTATTACTGATTTAATTCGATTGAGTTCTGTATATGAAAACCATGTTTTTTCTTTTCTAAAATATGCTCTTATATACAAAAATGCAAACTCGATTTATTTTAAGTCGATTCAGTCTTAAAAACAATTGATAAGCAATCTAATTGTTTCATACAATTAGAACTATCGCTTAGAAAGCCATAATTTATCCTTTTGTTCAACCATTTGATAGCAGAAAATAATTGGGCGTCAAATCCCCCATATATACCACTCGATGTAGTTTTTTATGCTGATTCCGAATATGAACTCAAAAATATGAAAAAAAAATTGAACAACATGCGGAAAACCTTAGCAACAATGATTTTTGAGTCTTTGTTAGCTCAACATATACTCCAAAATCGCTTCAAATTTCAACGTAAATACGATAGTTCAGCTTCAACGACCAAAACTGTATCAAATGATATGCTTGAAATAATTTTAGTGAACAATTTTTTTGTCATCCGAAAAATTCGTTTTAGGTGCCCCACCGGAAAAGTTCAAAATGTAAGAGGAAGCCTTGAAACAGTAGAAAAAGGGGATAAAAATTTCAATTGGATCCGTTCTCCAGCATGTAAGCCAATTTTTAAGCGTTCGACTTTTGAAATTTTCCCGTGGGAAATCTCAGGTGAATTTCTCGAACGACAAAAAAATTGTTCACTAAAATTATATCAAACATATCATTTGATGCAGTTTTGGTCGCTAGCAAAGACTCAAAAATCATTGTTGCTAAGGTTTTCAGCATGTTGTTTAATTTTTTTTTCATATTTTTAAGTTTAGATTCAGAATCAGCATAAAAAACTACATCGA